ACAAGGTATCCAAAATTGGACCACTGGTGCACCACCAAACCTTTTTGGACCAAAACCGCATAATTTTGACAACCACAGGGACCATTTTTGCAATTTTGTCTTTTATATAACTTGTCTGAAGTTTAAATGATTCTTTGAAACTGAATTTGTCTTTCAAATTCCAATTCCATTTCTCTTCCCAATAAAGCTTGCTCCAATCCCCATATCATAAGAAAAACAATCCCCAAAACTCCACACTTGTCTTAGTATTAATTTTAGAATCTAAATACCAAATGTATCACCATTTACCAATAATCCTTACAAGAACACAATCCATGACTAAAATGATGAAACCTCTTCGAATCTCTCACAACAATTTCACGATCCACAATCTTGGCTATCAACTTTATAGTCTCATGACAATCACCACAAATCCTCAAGTTCTTCATCACCTGGATACATGTCCCAGGAACCGAATTCATAATCGCATAAGCAACAGCCAGTTTCTCACTATGAATCTTCAATGTCATTTCCTTCTCTTCTTTATCAATATCATGTAAAACAGATGTCATATTCGCTACATATCCAGCTTCTTGCACCTTCATCATCAATTCTTCCAAATACAAATAAATCTTCTCATGATCAGGATGCTCTTTATCCCCAACCAGAAACACATGAACCCTACCTTTTAATTCAACCAAACTAAACCCTGGTGTTTTACTCAACCCATGATTCTTCATATAAACCCGCATCTTTTCAACATCCTCCCACCTTCCCGCATCAGCATACATGTTACAAAGTAGAACATAATATCCACAGTTTTCAGGGTCAAGCTCAAAAAGATGTCTTGCTGAAATCTCCCCAAGCTCTACATTCTTATGCATTCTACACGCAGCAAGAAGTGAACCCCACACAACAAAATCAGGCTTTACCTTCATTTTCTTGATCAGATCATAAGCTTTATCAAGAAAACCCGCCCTCCCCAAAAGATCAACCATGCAACTGTAGTGCTCAACACCTGGCTCAATAGAGTATTTATGTTTCATGGTTTGAAACCAGTGCCACCCTTCATCAACCATACCTGCATGACTACATGCAGATAGAACTGATACAAATGTTATGTGATTTGGGACTATTTTAACACGAATCATTTCATAGAACATGTTTAAAGCTTCTTTAGCATAACCATGCATCCCATAACCTGCAACCATTGCAGTCCATGATTTTACATTCTTGTTCTTTATGCGGTCAAAGCTTCTTTTTGCAGTCATTACTCTTCCACATTTGCAGTACATGTCCACAATTGATGTGCCCACGATTACTTCCTCTTCAAGACACATCTTTATGACCTACGTATACAAGATTATGTATGTTGTGATTAGTGAGCATATTTATTAATCTATCATATATGTTTTGAGGAGAAGTAGTTTAAAGTACCTGATCATGTATACATTTTCCAAGTTGTAGAGCACCAGAATGAGCACAAGCCAACAGAACAGTGGACAAAGTCACAGCATTGTATTTAACATTTGGATCTTGCACCATGTCAGAAAACAATTTCAGTGCTTCTGTAGAGAATCCATTTTGAGCACAAACTGCAATCATTGAGTTCCAAGTTGTGACATCCTTGTCGTTTATCTCATCAAAGGCCTTCCTACTGAAAGCTACCTGACCACATTTGGCATAAGCATCCACCAGAGTATTCCCAATTTTTGTATTTTCTGCAAATCCCTTTTTGACAACGACCCCATGGACACCCTCTGTAATGCTCTTACTTGAAGTACTAGAACAAGCGGCAAGGACAGAAACCATAGCAACTGAATCAATGCACACCTCGTCTTCGTTCTCACTCATGCTTTCTTCAGTCAGGAAGTCTTTAAAAAGGGATAAAGCCTCATGAGGAAGTCCGTTTTGGACATACCCGGTGATCATTGAAGTCCAAGAAACAACATTTCTCAGAGGCGATTCATCGAACAGGTTGCGTGCATCATCCAGGTGACCACATTTCGAGTACATGTCAATGAGAGCAGATGAAACGAAAAGATCGTTATGAAATCCGAAGACAATAACTTGTTGGTGGGTCTGCTTTCCAGAGTGAAGATCATAGAGAGCGGAACATGATTTGATGGTACAAGGGAAAGTGGAGCGGTTTGGGGTAAGAGATAGCTTTCGCATGGCGGAGAAGGCGAGAAGAGACTCCACAGACTCACCGGCGCGAGAAAGGTCGGCAATGACCGAATTCCATGACCAGACATTGGTGGTGTCTACGTATTTGTTGAAGAAAGTAGCAAGGTTAGGATTACTGCGGGGGAAGTTGTTGATTGTAAGCTCCGACAAAGCAGCGACCATAGCTGCTTTGGTTATCTTCATTCATTTCCCGGGTTTCGGGTTTCCTTCTGGTCGCTTCTTTTTCTACAAACTACGATAGAGACAACTAGTTTGAAGAAGCTATAAGAGTTTCGAATTTCTCTTTATAATGTTGTTTAGTTTGAAGATAAAGTGTCACATGATAAAGTCTCTTTATATACTATTTTTTGCTATATATATAATCATACCTTTTCCAAATCAAACTATTGTAATGAAAGTATCCCTTCAAATCAAAATGTTAAAGTATACATACATACAAACAACTCAAATCAACCATCATCAAAAATCATCAAAAATCACAAATCATAAATCATAAATAAATGTTTGTTTCATGTGTGATGCTACACAAATACACAATTGAAAGAATGCGACTACCATCCCATTTCCCACCACCCTCCGCCGACTTGCCGCCGGAGTTGGCCCTATATCTGCCGCCAGGCCCAACTACTAGTACTAGTCTACTACAGAAGCCGAAGGTGGGAGGTATCATTTAATCTTTTAATCTGCCACCCTGTTTTCCATGAATGTTGGAGTAGTGTCACAGAAGAATCTTCTATGCACATCTTGTTTGACATCACTGGGCTACAACCAAGAACCCCTGTCAAAAGACACTTGATAGGAATCGAGTGACTGAAAACCGCCACACAATGGCTGCTGTTGCTTCTCCCACTCATCCCCACCCCCACATGGTGGTGGTGGTGGTGGTGGTTCGGTTCTTCATCCGCCTCCTGATCTCCGGTGGTTGTCACCATTTGCAGGCGGCTTTTCCCGGACTTCCTCCTGGCCAACACTTGTTTGGGCTTTTGTAGTAAATCCCACCGGGGTGATGGAGGTCCATATTGATGATCTGGAGGTGAAAAACCACCAGATCGGAGCTTTTCCGGCAAGCATACTACTGTTCCGTTTAGGAACTGGAGCATTCGGAATTCCACCTGCCGGAGTGATTCGCCGGAAGGGGCTGCAAAATCCGGCTGGAATCTCTCGATTAAGCTCGACACTTCAGGGGTGTATACATCGGACCTCACGCACCCCTCCCATAGTCCATGACTCATCTCCTGTAGGGCTTCCGATGCTTGTATCAGGTGTTCGGAAAAATTCATCTCCTGCAAACAAACAGAACACGAAAATTAAGATGCAAAACCACAAACCCAAATCTACGACGGATATTAATTGATGGAACTTGAGAACAATCTGTAAGTTAATCAATCAATCGAGATTCATATTTGATATTCCCCTTTTGCAGGAATGCTGACCAGGGGTGGGCCAGTTAGAAGATTCGTGATCGAAATATCACCTCCAATTGAGGATTCTGAAGAATCTATCAATCGAACCAAATTTGAAGCTTCAAGAAGATACACTCATTACTCAAGTCAATCGGTTACTTCCTTAAACTTATCGAAAAATAGGATCAAGATGCGAATTCCTACAAATGAGCATAAGTTGTGAATCAAGCAGATGAAGTAATGGAGTACCTGACAGATGGGAAGAGCTGTCGATCGAGCGCGATCTAAAGGGGAAGTGTAAACGGCATTGAATCGAATCCCCTGAGATTTCAAGAACACTGCTAAGGCTCTAGCTTGTCTCTTCCCGTTAGGCGTCAGTGTAGCTTCAGGGCAACGACCACCGACCAAATCTGGTCTTAAATTAACATGGCACTCGCCTTGGCATATCAAGTACACCTCCGTCATAGCTCTATCGTCATCCACCGCGTCGGAGAAGCTCCGAGTGAACTGCGGCGGCGGAGAAAGGACGTTGCAAGGGTCCCATACCTTGATGGATGGAGCAAGGCGTGGAGTGCCGAAAGACGACGGCTGAGGGGATAACGGCGATGCAGATGCGTGGCAGGGTAACAGTTCCGGCTCTTGTTCCACGACCTTCTTCATTAAACTGTCTTCTTCACCAAGTAATCTGATTGTGTCGTTGTGACCATGATCGTTTCTTTCTTCTTCTTCTTCTTCAATTTCTTCATCGTCGTCGTCGGTTACTTGTACAGACTCAGATGCCCCCATTTCAACCTGCAATCCGTTACTCAGATGTTTCGAAATTCGAATCTACCGAATCAAAATACTCAAACAAACGATTCATGATTCAACATCAGATTATGGGAATTATTATTAAAAAGGGAAATTGAAGTAGATCTGGAGTTGTTACTTGCTTCTGGTTGCGTATGGGATTAGGGCCGAAAAGAGACACAAGTGGATTTCTTCTCTTTCTTCACATGTCAAGCAAGTTTGCTACATACTTCAGTTTTCACTTTACCCATCGAGTGATCAACTGTCTTCTTCGTCTGTGTTTATCAAAATCTTTCCTTTTTTACTCTGAGATAAATCGGTCAAAAACCTATCTGGTTTTGAAACCGGCATTAAAGAAAGTAAAAGTGATTCAAACAAACTAGGAAAACATCTGTGCATTTAATGGTTTTGTCTACTTTTGTAATAGAAACATCTTGTTTACAAATAAATCGAAAAGTTTCTCAATCTACTTTTTATAAACTTCATATGACTTTTAGAAAGCTTATCAATTTTTGGACAAAATTAGTTTCTTGCAAAAAGAATAAAATTGAGTACGTAGGTAGCAAGTGGATTCTACAAAGTACAAACCAGTTTGTCCAAAGTCCAAACAATCGAATTGGTTAGAGATTGTTCACGAAACAAGTAAATATCTTTAGGTTTAAAGGTATATTGTATGTTAAAAATAAAATATGTGTCAACGTCGACATTGCAATCTAAATAATCATGATTTGTTATACGTCTAGATGACTGGAAATATAATTAAATTAATGACAAATTAAATATGTTTGAAGTTTTATTTTATACTTATATATTTGTTGTTCACACCAAAGGGTCAATGACCTAGCGGTAAGGAGTGACTCTCTCATATGAGAGATCATGAGTTCAAGTCTCCGTGGAGAGATAGGTGGTTATTTAGGAGTATGTTAGTTAGTTTGACGTTTGCCGTTATATATATAACGACAATCAATAAGTTCAATTTACTATGCATCTATTAGCCTTAACTAACCGGTAACATAGATTATGTGGTGTTAAATAGTGTGACATGTAATATTGATGTGGCAACTACAAGCTAAAAAGTTATATTACATGTGTGGATGATGTATGATCTGGTTCTTCTCAAATGGATGGTCTATCATATTGTTCTTTTTCTTATCAGTTTTAATATATATAGACAAGCATGTACATGTGGTAAAAAGCCAAAGATGTGGACTTCATCGACCAAGAAGAACTAGGTACCCTAATTCTCTGATATATGAATTTCTTTTTAAGTTAATGTTGTTTCTCTAATGTTTACTTACAGTTTATTTTTGTATGATCCTTCAAAAGATTATGATTTTTTTGTATGAGTGGATTAGGATTTACCTGTTCACCGACATAAGGAAAAATTGATAAATTGCACAACAAAAATATGGATTTTATACAAGGATAATACGATCATGTCCAACAGGAATATAAAATTAGAGAAGGATAACATGGAGCTTCGAACGAAATTACTAAACTTGATGTGTTCGACAAAATAAATGGTTTGTTCATGGTTAAGTTTATTTTGTTTATCATTTTTCTAGTTTGCATCTTTACTTTGTTTTTTAATTATGTGATTGGGCAAGTTAGGTTTATGCTAAATCGTTATATATTTGGGTGTATAGAAGAATTGCACGCATGTTTTCAACAATGTGCTTTGTTGAACGAACAAATGGTAAAAGGGTCCAACAATCATAACAACAACCAAAAAGCTTATCTTGTTGAACGACGTGAGAGGTTGCGGGATAGTTGGCTGTAGCGGACTTCGAGGACAAAGTCTAGTTTAAGTGGGGGAGAGTTGTAACACCCAGTTTTAGAAGTATTCGATTTTTGGTCTCGGAGGCCAAGGGTAGGGGCGATTTGGACTTTTATTGGTCTCAGGTTTATTCGGAAGGATGAAAGGCGTGTGTATGGAGCTACAAGCGTGTGACATCCCCAAATTTCATGGCCAGAAAAGACCGATTTATTTATGCTTTATTTGAAAATCAGAGTATATTTTTAAATAAATATATTGCGGAATTTATTCCCAGAAAAACATGACAAATATATTATCAAAGCATTTTCGAAGAAATGTATTTTATTCATATTAAAATTTTGGGATGTCACCCTATCCAGCATCGAACTTTGCCTAGCAGTGATCTGAATATCGTGAGGTATTTTACCCCCAGACTC